GCAGCAGTAGCAGCAGTAGCAACAGCAGCAGCAGCAGCAGCAGCAGCATCAGCAGCAGCAGCAGCAGCAGCAGCAGCAAGGGTGCGGAGGTCCAGTAGTAGCAGATGAAAGCAGTAGCAGAAGTATTCGGAGTAAGTAGGGGTAGGCATAAGGGTGCGGAGGTCTACATGGAAAGCTATAGGCGCAAGCTTTCAGTTTGGACCCGTGCCTCTGAGGCTGTTAATAGTGTCTTTCAGTTGTGGTTGCGGCTAAGCGTACAAGTAGCCTACTCGGGTTGCATCTACAGGGCCCCAACAAACAGCATCCTCGCTAGGCGGACTTTGGTAGGAAGGCTTTTACTTTGCTTCCCATCTGCCGCGCAACAAGCAAAGATGTTTGCCGAGGTGTTTCCCGATTGACACTCGAGCAACAGAGAAGGAGACTCGGGTTCCGCGAAGAGGGTACAGAAAGGTTGGGCAGGGGTTTCATGCGGTTTCGGCACAAAGGATGTGTCCTTGCATTCTTGGAATGTAGGTGTTCGGATATGGCAGTACTGTGCTTTTCCGCATCTCGGTTACTCTCATTATCTTCCTGCTGCTCGGCGTGCTGTTTGGGGTGTCAGTTTCGATGCTAGCGTGATTTCTGGGTTGTGTCTCGGGACTGTTGGGGCCTTAGCTTCGATGTTTGGTGGCTCCGCACTTGGTACATGTGCGCGGCGTCGACAACATGAGTTTTTGCCTCAATCACGGCAACGTTTGATGTATGTGCAACTCCGTCACGAGCTTCCGCAGTCTTGCGTAATGGTAAGACTGATAAAACACGAAACCCGATACAGGGAACTTCGGAAAGACCGGTGTCTGAGGGACGTTCGCATGATGTGACAAAGGCTCTTCTGGTTGCTCTGGTCGTCATTTGTTTGTCATCTTATAAAACTAAAGGCACAAGGCTTCCAGGCGTAATGCTCAGGCTGCGGTCCCGAAGTCAGAAATGCGAAGAGACTGGGAAGCAGCCGTGTGGCACGGACATAGCTGAAAAGGAATGCTTGACATTCCGCAATGAGTGGTATCTACAGCATCGCCAGGTCACACTGCACTCCAGCCGCACGCAACACAGGCAGACAATGCCCAGACATCCGACATCGAAAAGTGTTGTAAAGAAAGCGTGAGCCACAGTGCAGACAACCCAACCAGCATGTTAGTCGGGACTTCCACACATCTTCAACCAGCACACGTGCTGTGAACAAGCAAGTCGTTACCGACCCTTCATGGTCATGGTGCAAGAGGGCTGCATAGCTCGGTACTCGTCCTACCTCCTCTTCTTCCTGTTATTTATATTCCGGTCTTCGGCTATCCTCGATCAAAGTGGATTTAGAAGAGCCCTAAACCCCAGAAGCCTCACTGCAGGAGCGCCTGATGAAGAGATTCACCAACGGCCTCTTCTTTAAGTCGCAGGGGTTCTCAGAGCCGTCAGGGCTTCAATGGCCTTTGGGCTTTCAGGACTTCTTTGGGGGTTTTCGGAGTTTTGGGCTTTCATGAGGTGCGGGTTTTTTCACGGTTTTGTGTCTTTGTGGCTTGGGGTTCGGCTTTGGCGTGTTCAAGCTCTCGGGCTTTTGTGGCTTAGTGTTCAGGGTGCACTGAAAAGGCTCCAGCCTGCCAACACGCCATCCTCTTTCCCAGGCAGGTTAGCCAAGCAGGTTGTTGCTTGGCAAAACACACACCAAAAATCTCCTTTGCCCTTCCCTTGCTCTGAGGATTACCATGCTGGCCATCGCAGCCAATACTCTGTACCTAGGCCGCCTCCTTACATTGCTTCCTCTGCGGAGGGACACGGTGACGTCTGCAAATTAAGGTTCGTCTTTTTGCGGTCTGGTGCCCAATGATCTCTGGTTTCCTGAAACTCCTACTGGCGGGGCGATCCCGGAGTGCTGTTCCTTCTCGGTTGGGCCCGGCTACTAAGGCGGCTAACTTGAAGGTGCAGTTTGCCACAAAACCGTCAGGTTCATTTCACGAGTACCTGAACCCCGAGCCTCCAGGCACCGGATCAGCAACCCCTGCCGAAACTGTGTGTTCCTGCCCAGCGGAGGGTGTGGTGGCTATACGATGCTATACGAGTTACCAACTGCAAGGCGCCATCAGATCATTGTACAAAGTTGGAAACTTCAAAAGACTGCCAGCCTTTTCTGAGTGTTGAACAGGCTTTGGGTCTCAGGATTTTCGGGCCCGGGTGTTTGTTCATCCCAGGTTGGGCGGCCAACACGAATGCCTCAGACTCGGGTGCAAAGGTCTGCTGTCTGTGTTGTTTCTCAGGGATCATGTACTGCAAAGCTTGCAGGGAATCCCTTACTCGAAATGCTCAATCCGGAAACCACATGCCCCTAGATATTCTCTAGCCTTGCGCCCGAGGAAAAGCGCAAAACGCCACCGGGGGCGATGTTGCAAAGCCAAGGTCAGCAACAGCTGGAGACGGCTTAGGAGCGAGCCGGTGCAACAGCCGGGAGCGACCCGGCCAAGATGTGCTTCAGCTTCTCGCTTCACGCCATGTCTGAGAGCATAGAACGACCAATCGTCACCGTCAGAGGTGTCAGTGGTAAGATCAGTCGAAGTCCTTGTTGCTCGCCGACAGAAACTGCAAGAGCCGCATGGGCAGAAGCAGCAGCGATGAGAGCGGCAGCCGGAGGTGGCACAGGAAAAAGCAGGAGCAGGAACACCAGCCGCACGGTTCTTGCAGTGCTTATTGTTCCTTCGTCGTCGCAGCCTTCGTCGTCGGCATTGTGGCTGCGATGATGGCTTGCCGCAGCTTTTTATGATGGCGATGTTCATGTTCGCCCAGTAGAGAAGACCACAGCTCTAAGCAGAAAGTTTTGGTGGTTTCAGGTCGAGTTCGACATCGCTTTCACAGGCGGGACCATTTTGGTGTGTAACCGGCATGCATCGACCGGGCCGCCGAGCAAGCTCGTATGCAAGCTTAGCCATGCAAGAGTAGCGCGTCAGAACTGCTAAGTTCAATGCCTTGGCCAGCCTGGTTTGGGGTGGAGCTCTTCATAAAGATGATTGCTGACCGCGTGCCTGGTGCTTAGAGGGGCAAGGGGGCAAGAAGCCCACCTCCAAGATCCCAAAGCTTTCAGCTTACGTCAAACACATCAAGCCGCTGCGAACAAGAGCCCCAAGCCCCAAATGCCCAGGTCCTGCAGCGGGCTGTGCATGTTGCGAAACCCTGAAAAGAATTTCGCTGTCGAGTACGGCTTTGTCGGGCCTTTGTTGATGGAACGGACACCAGGCTTGGGAAGTTTGGCTAGGGTGGCAGCAGCACAGGTGGTAACAGAGGAGTTGTGTTTTCCGTCAAGGCAGTGAAAGACAGCATCGATGACGAAGAGCATGCTTGTGATGGTAATGGTGCCAATTGGAAATTTAGCATCCGCCCTTATCGCTGGTATTGCCACTACCAGCACTACCACTCTCATCGTCACCTACTCGAACGTCATCAGGAAGCAGCAGAACTATAATGTTGAGTACTGATACGAACGAACTGACAAGATAACGATGCGACACAGTCATCATATTCACATGCTTTGTTTATCGCAAGGAAATCCCTGTGAATCTTGGCCTTCCCAGCTTTATTTTCTAGCAGTCGACCCAGGCAGTTCTTTGTTGGAGAGGAGCGGCGTGAACCTGAGACCGACTGACGGATCTCCGGACTGTGGTCCCGTTTTTGGCGGCTTTTGGGCCACGGCGCGCCTGTAAATGTAGGTGTTATGTTAATCTGTCTTCCGGCTCGTGATTCTATCGGCTCGGGACTTCGCCTTTGGGGGCTTGGAGTGTGTTCTACTGGTAGCTCACTTGTGTGCTGCAGCAGTCGGGACCGAAGACCTCCAGTGCTACATTCAGACCACTTTGCCTTCTTAGCGTGGGCGAAGTGGCTGCCCAATCACATTGATCGTGCTGATCTTGCCGAGGGCATGGAATTGGTTTGACATGGCGTTGGTGGGGGAGTCCTTCGTCGGACTTTTCTCCCAAGGCCAGTCTGCTGTTTCTTATTCATGAGGGATCCTATAGTCCTATAGATACTGTGGGATTGTATCACGGTTCCGCATCTTCTGAAAGTCCCATCACGTGGTTGGACTCGTTGGTGCACTCCGCTATGGTGACAGGTGACATTTGTCTTGGCAGGTTTGGTTTTGGGCTTCAGATGACAATAACAGCAGCTGCTGCAGTTGTGTTGTTGCTATCCCTGCTCTTGCATCTATGTTTGCTATGTATTTCTGTTGCTACCTCTGCTGTTTTGGCTCGCAGCAGCAGCAGCAGTAGTAGCAGTAGCAGCAGAAGGAGTAGGCGTCGTAGGAGCAGGAGTAGGAGTAGTAGTCGTAGTAGTAATAGTAGTAGTAGTAGTAGTAGTAGTTGGTAGTAAGTAGTTGGTAGTTAGCAGCAGCAGTA